GTAAATCTAAACATTCCTTTCTCATTAGTGTTAGAAGTGAACTTCTGAGGAGTTTGCTGGCACTGAAAGCTGCAAGATACCAACCACACCTGCTGAAACTTATAACAGCATAAAACAATGATACAGATTTCTGAAACTTTTTATACAGAATTCAGCTCAGATAGGTTGAATTTGGGTGCTATATTCTAGGGCCACAATTCAGCACTCTTCAGAATCAGCCTACTACAAACTGCATTTTAGTAACTAATATTAGACTGACTTGATTTTTTTGAATGGCATAAACTGTTATCCTCCATGAACAGAATATATTGTCATCATTGCTTTGTTATCCCAAGTGGCTCGCCTTTTGCCTCTTCGTTTGTGTAGGATACATTTGTTCATGTTTTTGTGAGAGGCCACAGTATGCAGTAGGTGGGTCATGCTGCTGAAAAACCGGATGCCTGGGTGCTCTCTCTTTGCTGATTCTATTGTGCTTTTGATTCTGTATTTTACTGATAGAATATTTGAAGTAGTTCTGGAGGGTCCTAGAAGCAATGAGTAGAGCTAGTAATTAAATATGCTGTAAAATCTACTGCTGCAACATTTTTATAAAAAAATGAAACAGAGAATTTGTGCCTTTGATAGTTGCATGGCAGACAAAAAGAAACTGGTGCGATCTTTCTTTGTGACTGCATATCCATGCCCCAAAGATTCACAGGATCAGTTCCTGTCTCTATTGCAGCTAGTAAAGGAAGAGATCTTCTGTCTATAAAATAGCTGCAAACAAAAATAAATTTGAAGCTAGAGATGTAAACGCCTCCCATCCCCATCCTCCCTAGAAAACTCATGAATCTTACTGAAGTTCTTCAGTTTCAATTACAGAATTACAGAATTTTTGTTTTGTTTATCTCAGCATTCTTTCATACGTTTTCCTTATCTGGTCCCTTTAATTGTTCACTGAAATGGAGTACCAGTTCATTCTCAAATACCACATCTATTATGCCACAAGCACATCCAGTTTCCCGCTGCACTTGCTGTTAGATTCTTCCTGCATCTTTCTACATGCAGGAAGGTTGCTGATGTGAGAAGAGAGATCCTTCATATCCACTGGTATGTACAGAGGAGAAGAGGGTTGAGAAGTGTGCAGCAATGGCCTGGATAATCACTATGTTGTCATCTTCCTTTTTTGATGTAAATGGATACGCATGTTGCTACAATATTTTTTAAAAATAGGATTAAATTCAACATTACCTACTTTCAGACTTATCAAACTGTATTTCCCAGTGTACCCCCACATGCCAGTGATGCTCTTCAGGCTGTCTTCTCCTTGTGGTGCCCTCTCTTAGGATTTCCTGTATGGGCTTTCTTAGCAGTAGGTCCAGTCCTGTCAGAGGGGGTGTAGGGATGCTAGGATACCTGTTGGTTTGGCTTGTGTCCTTTTTTGCTTTTTGCAAATAGGGACCTTTTGATGATAATGATGATGATTGGCTTGACAGGTCATCAGTCTATTCATCGGTGTTTAACAGATTGTTCCATGTATTACTTTCTAACCGTACAGCTAGGAATGGGATTCTAATCCCCCTCTCATTACTGCATTTTGAGAACGCCGAAACACAGCAAAGTTAGAGATCAGAAGTTTAAGATCTATAACTCTGCTATGTTTCAGCCTCCCCTAAATAAAGTGGGGAAGGAATGGGCTTCTACCCCCAGTGTGGTATAATGGTTAAGAGCATCAGGTCATAATCCAGAGTTGGAATTCCCACTTCTCTACATGAAGCCTGCTGGGTGACCTTGGGCCAGTCACAGTTCTCTCAGAACTCTCTCAGCCTCACCAATCTCACAAGGGGCCTGTTGTGGGGAGAGGAAGGCAAGGCAACTGTAAGCCACTTTGAGACTTTTTAGCATAGAGAAAAATGGGGTATAAAAACTAACTCTTCTTTCTCATTAGCACTCAGGGTTGCCAGGTCCTCCTCTCTGGCTACTAGCAGGGGATGGGGGCATAGAGTTGTCAGATCCTCATAATTTATGTGGAAGGGGAATGAGTAACTGTCAGAACCATGAGGATTCAATCATAGAATTTTTACACTGTCAAAACAAAACTGCCATCATATTATAGCTTATATCTTGGTCTAGTAGAATCACCATAAAAATCGTGTATCCTCATGATTTTTACATAGGGTTACCCAAAACATTGCCAGATTGCATGTCACATCCATGTCTACACAGTGCACAATGAAAAGCATGGATCAATGCTTTGTGTTATCTAGGCATGGGCTTCTAATTCACTCCCCACCCACTGCTATGTTCAGGAAAGTTGAAATATAGCAGTTAGAGACCTGAACCCTCTGATCTCCAACCATGCCATATTGCAGCCTTTCACAAACATAGGAATTGGGGGGGGGGGGGTCTGGACTAGAAATCCACTCTTGGGATAGTTGCCAATCAATTTGACTTGGCAGCATCTTTTGAGTGTGCACGTTTCTTTGAAAACACAATGCAAATCAGTTGGACAGACATTTATGGTTGTTCAGTAAGAACCAAACAGATCAGGTGATTCGATCAATATGTTTGAATATGGCAATTTGGACTGTTGAATGTTGTTTGCAGCAACATTTGCAGCATCCTTAAGTAGATGTGAATAATGTCTTTATTGGCTACAGTTAGGAAGAGCTGCAAGACAGTTCTGTTTCAGAGGGCATTTGCTGGAGTGTAAATTTCTTCATCAGACTTGCCAGTGGTTTTAATCTATGTTTCGTTTTAATTTGTGCAGTTGTTTATACTCTCCACGTCCATACTTAGTTTTTAATTTGTATTGATTTTAATTTTTTTTTACTTGCATGTTTGTTTTTATCTTGTTAATAGACTTATATTTTTATTTTCTTGCATCTTGGTATTGCATTGTTAGCTGCTAAGTCTAAGGAGATAAGAACATAAGCCAATGTTGGATCAGGCCAATGGCCCATCCAGTCCAACACTCTGTCACACAGTGGCCAACAATACCAGGTGCCATCAGGAGGTCCAGCAGTGGGGCCAGGACACTAGAAGCCCTCCCACTGTTGCCCCCCCCCAGCACCAAGAATACAGAGCATCACTTGCCCCAGCCTGAGAGTTCCTATCTATAAAGTAGATAAGGTGGGATATAAATGTTCTATTTTTTAAAAAAAGGTAGAAGAACCAGGGTTATTGTTTCAGAATATACGTTAGCACTGTAATTTAAAGTGGAAACCAGGGACACAATATATGTTCATTGCTTGCTGAAAATTACTTTCTTGACTTGAGGAATGAAAAAAATAATGAGAATAAGTTACACACCCAGGCCAGAATTTAACCTGTGGGCCATTTCAGACCTCCCTAGCAGGTGATCTTTTCCTCATAGTGAAGGAACAATTTGTGTGCCCTTTCTAGGGCAAGTGGAGCCAGAGAAAAGGGGCATCCCCCTCTGCCCATTCCACTGGAAAGCAGGGGTGGGAGGGACCCAGACCCCCTAGTAGTTCCTTCTCCCCCCTTACAGCACTCCCTTGCAGTGCCAATGCAAGTGAGTGCTTTTTAAGGTGAGTTCCCCCAATGTATGCCTGGATGTGAGTCTGGTTGCACACCCAAGGCCCGGCATATGTCAGGCATAGCATGTAGCTTGGCCCTAAACTAGCACCACTCAAGTGAAACATTACTCAGAGCTGGCATGATGTAGTGGTTAGAGTGCTGGACTAGGGCCTGCTCTGCTGTCATGGGAACTCGCCAGCTGACCCTGGGCCCATCACAGTATCTCAGCCTAACCTACCTCACAAGGTTGTTGTTGTTGTAAGGATAGAGTGGAGGAGGGGAGAACAATGTGATAAGCTGTTTTGTGTCCCATTAGGGAGAGAAGCAGGTTATAAATAAAAATAATTATAAGTATTATTATTACATTGGTATTTCACTTTTTCTATTGGTGTGTGAGCTTCAGAACTATAGAATGAAATAGATCAGGATGCCTGAAGATGACTTGCCCGTGACCAAAACCTTAGTACTTATCTCCAAGTCTTCAGTGCTTTTCGAGCAAAATTTCCGTTTATAGTTGGAATTGAGACTGAATATTGACATTGTTTTGTCCTGCAGACATAACCACAGAAAGTTTTCAGTCATTCAGATTACTGAAAAAGTTTGGCATTTACAGCGTTTATTAAAAATAGCTATTCTATCACTAACTTTATGTATGTATGCAATCTCATATTCTGAATAAAGCTGATTTTTACAGCAGCTTTCCCTTTTATAGGATTGATTGCCAGATCTCTCCAGGGTGGTTAATATAGCATGAATGAGAAGCAAAGCTTCACTAATAAAAGTTCCACTGCATGCAAAATCTGTGCTTGCTAAATCAAGTGGCTGAGACATGATTCTGCTTTAGACATGTGGGATGGTTACAGAATGGACAATGAACTGTAGCATTGTGTTCCGGAGCATATGCACCATCTAGTGGTGGAACAGGATTGTGACACTCCCCCAAACTTTTACTGGGACTAATCTCTGTTGGATAGGCATAAACCAAAGTTCCAAAGAGTTAATTTTTGTGTCCCCAAAACCACAGGCATGCTCAGTGGGATTTTTTTCCTAAACTTGAACAGGGCCACATCACAAATGGCTTCGGGAAGGTCCTTCACTGAAATTCTAAGCAGAGTTTTTTGTTGTTGCAGTTACACCCTTCTAAATCCATTGAAGTCAATTGTGTTTAGGATGGCACTGACAGTCTCAAAAATAGTTTGTCAAAGCCTCCTTCTCTAGCTCTTGGGCTAATCATGTTAGCCAGGTGCTATAACAACCATAATAGTAACACAGAGAGAGCCAGTATGATGTCATATTTAGAGTGTTCGACTAAGACCATGGAGACCTAGAATGAAATCCCCACATGACCATAAAGCTAACTTTTGCCAGTGTCTCTCACTCTACCTTAACCTATCCATATCCAGCTTCTAATGTGAATGAATGGCAAATCATTATTAATGCAGACATCTTAATGCCACAACATTCCCTTTATGTATGTGTAGGTAGAGATTGGAACAGTGTTACCATCCATAACTCGAGAAATTTATGTACCTTCACCACTGCCAGAAGAACCTGAAGAAGAAGCATCTACACCCAAACTTATTGATGGCTCTTCACCTCATGAACCAGGAGTTCTTGGTCCACATACACATGAAGGTTTGTAAAAAGAAAATTGCGGCATACTTATGTTTTGCTTAGTCTGCCAGATTTGGGGGCTTTAATTCCAGCCATCATTGTCTTGCAGGGGGCCTCCAGGTATCTTCTGCATTTTCACTTTACCCTTTTATCTCATACTAAATGCTCTCTGCTTTCCATTGAGGAATTGAGCACCATCAGAATAATTACACTGAAGTGTCACATTATTGCAAAGTTCCTAAAATGCCTGCAATTTATAACCGCAAAGAGCTTAGATATACTGAAGGTTAGTTAAAGGATTGCTCAACCAACTGATCATACACATCAGTTAAGATGAGCTTCAGAGGTCCTGCTCTTCAGAAACATCAGACAGGGCTTTCTCTCGGTTAGCTACTTGGTTGGATTCAATTTTCTCTCAGGGCTAGCTACTCAGGTGGATCCAACCAGCACCAAGACTGTTGAACTTACTCTCAACAGTACAACCGACTGTTTGGAAATTATAGTTGATTTAAAGTGCAGAGTCAAGATTGCTGGTTGGTAAGGGGTATAGGGAACATATTTCTCCACTGCTGAAAGAATGACAGTAGCTGTAAATGCATTTCCAAGCTCCATTCAAAGTGCTGATTTCTATTTTTAAAGTCTTAAAATGTCTAGGATATTAAAGGACTGTATACTCCCATATGTACTTGCCTGTCAGTTACCATCTTCCACAATGGTTCTGCTCAGTGTTGTCCTCTGTATCAGATGAGAGATGATGAGTAGCTGCCACTTGAGAGACAGGATGTAATCCCTAGGTAAAATCTTAATCTTTAATGGTTTGTGTCCATGCAAAAGCCTGTCCCATTTGAAAGTGATCTTCTTCTTTGTGTTCTGAGTTTAAATAACTTCTGTCTTTTCCCACTCTACCTTGGGATGGCCTTACTGTGTATTCCTGTCCAAAAGGAAGAATATACATTCTGGATATTTCCCTCTCTGTCCCTTTTGGGTGTGACATATTAGCAGGGTGTGGAGTGGTACTTTGGCCACAGTCATTAGCATAACCATGACTTAGAATGCTTTGTGCTTGGAGCTTGATGGTTCTTCTTTCCTTCAACCACCTCCTTTCTGCCAGCTTATGAGTTTGTAGCTGGGTCCTTGCTCATGGATGCAGGACATTTCTCCACATTCTCTGATCTTACCTTGAAATGATTTCTTTTGTACTAAAGAACATTTCAAAAAGACCCGAACAATTTTTAATGAAGTAGATTTACCTTTCTAGCTCGTCCAGAAATGCTATAGCTACTCAGTTGGATCCAACCAGGTTTTCAGCTGGCAAAAAATGGGAGGATAGAGCCTCTTTTCACCATCAAAAGGGATTTCCTGGGGATCATGGAACCTTCATGGACAAAATCCATGTGGAATAGGGTATGGAGTAAAGAAGGAAATTAGGACAGGTTGAGTGAAAACGCTGCCTGGGTCCAACCTATTACTTCTAAGAAATTCAAGTTGCAGTGCCCAGACCCTTACTGCTAAGAAGTGTAATATCAATACAAATCTGTAGCATGCCCTAAGCAAATAAGCTTTTAGGTAATTGTGGAAGGTACTTCAGGGCTGGCACTTCTATTATCAAATTCAGTGGATTCCAGAAACTGTAGGGACACTAAAACAGGAACTTTTTTTTAAAAAAAGAGTTAAGTAAACGGAGGTTTCAACTGAGAAAGACTGGGAAGTAATAACTTGGTTCCAAAGATAAATCTTTCACTAGGCCTTTTAGGCTTGCCAATTAAGCTGCAGGAAGACCCTCCCACATTCCAGGCCCTTCTTCCCAGGGCTCTCCTGGCAAAGTCTCTACCTGAAGCTTCAGTTTTACAGTAGGAATCCAATCATCTTCTTCAGCTTCCACAAGCCCCGGTGGTGTATTTGCAGCTCTCACAGGCCTGTCTCTCCTGAGAGCCAGTTTGGTGTAGTGGTTAAATGTGCGGACTCTAATCTGGGAGAACCGGGTTTGATTCCCCACTCCTACACTTGCAACTGCTGGATGACCTTGGGTAAGGCATAGTTCTGTCAGAGCTGTCCTTGAAGGGCAGTTCTCTCAGTGCTCTCTCAGCCCCACTTACCTCACAGGGTGTGTGTTGTGGGAGGGGAAGGGAAAGGTAAGCTGCTCTGAGACTCTGAGTGAAGGGTGGGGTATAAATCCAATCTCCTCCTCCTCCTCCAGTTTTTTCCTCCCACCTCTCCACTCTGGTTTCCTTCCCTTTTTCTTTGCCCTCTTCCTCTTCCCCATCAGAAAAAAGACAACTGTTACATAGGCCAGGGTCAGGGCCAAGGCTCCCTCTAAGCTGTGGAGTCATGTGAGCAAAAATTCTACTTTGTGAGCTGCTGGCATTAAAGTTGTGAGCGAGAGATTTGGCTGCTGTTGTTTGCTCTGGAGCCATCCTTCCTGAGCTAAGACAAAAACGTGTGAGCCGGAGGCTAAAAAAACTGTGATCTAGCTCACACCAACTCAGCTTAGAGGGAACACTGGTCAGGGCTACAGGCCGGTCAGTCTGACTTCTATTGTTGGGAAGATATTAGAGCAGATTGTAAAGGAATCGATCTGTAAGCATCTGAAGGACCACTTAGTGATCCGGGGAAGTCAGCATGGTTTTGTCCCCAACAGATCTTGTCATACCAACCTGGTTTCCTTCTTTGATCGTGTGATGAGCTTACTGGATCGTGGGAACTCTGTTGATGTGATTTACCTGGATTTCAGTAAAGCTTTTGATAAGGTTCCCCATAACATTCTGATGGGCAAACTGGAAGACTGTGGGCTGGACTATAGGACAGTTTGGTGGATAGGGAACTGGTTAGAGGACTGCACCCAAAGAGTGGTGGTCAATGCTGTTTCATCAGATTGGAGGGAGGTGTCCAGCGGGGTGCTGCAGGGCTCGGTTTTGGGCCCAGTACTTTTCAATATGTTTATCAATGATCTAGATGAAGGGGTAGAAGGGCTACTCATTAAATTTGCCAATGATACCAAATTGGGAGGAGTAGCAGACACCCAAGAAGACAGAGTTAAAATTCAACAAGACCTGAATACTCTGGAGAAGGGGGCAGTTGCAAACAGGATGCAGTTCAACAAAGATAAATGCACAGTATTACATCTGGGCCACAAAAATGTCAAGCACAAATACTGGATAGGGGATGTGTTTCTGGGGAGTAGTGTATGCAAAAGAGATCTTAGGGTAAGAGTGGGACTGTAAACTAAATTCGAGCAGTCAGTGTGATGTGGTGGCAAAAAAAGGCAAATTCAGTCTTGGGTTGTATTAAAAGGGCCATAGCATCGAAATCGCAGGAGGACATAGCCCCTCTGTATACTGCCTTGGTCAGGCCACAACTTGAGTACTGTGTGCAGTTCTGGAGGCCTCACTTCAAAAAGGATGTGGACAAAATCGAGAGGGTGCAGAAGAGAGCGATGGGGATGATCAGGGGTCTGGAGACTGAGCCCTACGAGGAAAGGCTAAGGGCCTTGGGAATGTTTAGTTTGGAGAAGAGGAGATTGAGGGGGGACATGATTGCTCTCTTTAAATATTTGAAAGGCTGTCATTTGGAGGAAGGCAAGGAGCTGTTCCAGTAGGACCCGAACAGGACCCAAAGCAACGGGTTTAAATTACATGCAGAATGGTATTGGCTGGATATTAGGAAAAACTTTTTCACGGTCAGAGTGGTTCAAAGGTGAAATCAGCTGCCTAGAGAGGTGGTTAGCTCCCCTTTACTGACAGCTTTCAAGAAGAGGCTGGACGAATATTTGTCAGAGATGCTTTAGGCTGGTCCTGCATTCGGCAGGGGGTTGGACTAGATGGTCTGTATGGCCCCTTCCAACTCTATGATTCTATGATTCTATAATGTGGTCACTTGAAAGCATTGTCTGCTTCGGCTTTAAACTCCATAGAGTTTGCATTTCATATTGTGTTAAATATACGTGTAATCCTTTGTGGAACTATTGTAATGATTTAGAATATTTCTGTTTATTTACATGTGATTGTTATGATCCTCTATTTCAATTAGACTGTAGTTTCATGCATGGCTCTGGGGAGTTATTTTTGTTTTCTGCCTGGGTACTTCTTGTCAGCAGCTCCCCTGCTGTCCCTGTTGCTTTCCTCTCTATTGGTAAGGAGGAGCTAGAGAAAGAGAGATGAGATGGAAGAAGGGTGGTGTTGAAATCGGAGGGGGAGAGAGTAAAGAAGTGGAAAGTGAGGAAGAGGACACGGGCTGAAATAAAAAGAACAGGAAAATAGCATAGGGTTGCCAAGTCACCCTGGCTGCTAGTGTGTGTGTGAGGGGGGGTTAGGATTGCCAGCTTGGAGAACTCTGGAGGTTTGGGGGTGCAGCCTGGGGAGGACAGGGACCCCCCAGTGGGGGCGGGGATTTCCCGCTGCCAGGCCCCAACTCTCCACTGCCAGCCACCAACCAGCTGGCTGGCAGAGGGGAATTACCCCCCAAAAGGAGAAAACCAGAAATTAGTAACATGTCTGTGTGACCTGGAAATGATATAGGCACATTGGGGACATCTAGGGTGATGCTCTGGTTTTTGGGAAAAAACTCTATAATAAAAGCTAATTCTACCATAGAGTTTTGCCCAAAAAACTGAGCATCGCCCCCCCCCATCCCCAATGTGCCTATATCACGTCTGGGTCATGTAGGCACATTGCTGAAATGCAGGGCATTCCTCCCTGCTCCCAGTAAGTGCACACCTCGCTGGCTGCTTGGAGGGACCTAGCAACCCTAAACCTCAGAGGGATACCTTGCAACAGAGTCCACCTTCCAAAGCAGCCATTTTCTCCAGGGGAACTGATTTCTGTAGTCTGTAGGTCCTGCCTGGAGGCTGGCATCCCTAGACAGGTATAGACATGACTGGTCTTCTTCCTCCCCCAAAATGTCATGGGCCATTTAGTAGTAATACTATATTTATCAACTGTTTTTCTGCCAGTCCCAAAAATGCAACTGCAGTATCAGCTTTTATCCAAAAGCAATGAAATGCTTTCCAATGCATTTCTACTTTTTCTATAAAATGTTGATAGTTCTCAGTCCCCCCATCTCTTTTCAAAACCATTCTCAAATTCACTGTAGATGGTATTTTTATTAACCATTCCTGTGTCTTCCTAAAAAAGGGCATGTGAGAATTGCAAAATCTGCTCTAATTACATCCATACATGTGCACTACAGTGGCAGTTGGGTTATTCTGTCTAATAGTCCACAGCTTTCAACCAGCTTTAGAGGTTAACAGATAACAGAAATATTTCTTGATGCCATTGCACTGAGTCAGAACTGATAATTTAAAACAATTCTAAGGAAATTGAAATCTGTTTGGGAAAAAAAACGATTTCCTTAAAAATCATCAAAAAGCATGTCAGCCGCATAATTAAATGTAACCAACATTATTTAGGGTTTTTTAAAGGCATTCAAAACCTTCAAGTACCATATAGTATGAAGAGGTCACCGGGAGCATAGCCCTAAGAATCTAGGGACAAAATTTTCCATTATTGATTTTACACTTTTATTAATTACTTGATCAGTGTGGTAAATGTTACTTCACATCATGAATAATCTTTGTAAAATTAACAGTTTGGGGAGGGAAGCTTTGTCAATATTCAGTGTTAAGCTTACAAGTTGCCTCTCCAGGGCTGCAGTCACATGTGCCATTTGGTGCAGAGGGGAAGCATCCCTATTTCCTCTGGTGGAATTTAACTTGCAGTTGTGCGATCACACATCCCTTTGTGCTGTGGGCTCAGCCTGTCACTGCACAATCAGATGCCACCTCAGATGAATGGGGGGGTTGCCTTTCCCCCCATGTGCATAAATGAGGAATTGCACCTCCGCACTGAGGGTTCCCCATGGAGTATGTGGTTATGCACATATTGCTAAGCGAGAGGAAAAAATGGCACTGAGTCATGATGGAATGAGCAGACCATCCTGACGGCTTGAGAGCGTGCTTGTGTGACCAGACAGGGGAAAGTCCATCCGTGGCCCGTTGGCAAGCATTAGGACCAGACTTTCTCTGGTGTCTTTAACTCTGCTTCTGTGGCAGAGCAGCACAGGGTGCTGACAACTGTTGGACCTTTCCGGGGAAATGATAGGTGCAGGTTGAAGAGGTTCAGGAGTGTATATAATGGATCCTGTGAAAGCTAGAGACATCAAACTCTACATGTCAACCAAGTTATGTGAAGATTGGAGTTTGGGGGTCTGAGTTATGCCCCCCCCCAGAAGAAACCTCCAGAAAAGTGCTTTTGGGAAAATGTCAGATGCAGGTTCAAAAGTGTATAGAATGGACCCCCTGCAGGCTACACAAACCAAATGCACAGGGAACCTCACCCAGCCTTTGAAGTTAGGTAAACATTTTGATTGAGTGGAGACAGTCAGTCTGGAAATATATCCATTCATTATACATCCATTCATCCAAGAACTGCTTGAAAGTTCTTGGAATTTTCCTGCAGGTTGACCTGCCCTGAACTTCAGTTCACAAATGTCTAAAATTTGTCACAAACTTTATTTCATGAGCAAGTTCGTGCCCATCCGTATTTGCTAGATCTCTTTACAAACACTGCAGCAAGCCACAAGTACCCAAAAGGCACTCCTATCTGTGATGCCCTGTGGCGGCAAGGGAATATCATACTTGGGGTCCATGGGTCTTGAAAACATCAACCCAGTAACTGCTTCCTTGCAGAGATGGTTTTATTTCCATATGACAGCTCCAGGTACCTGAAGGTGTCATTATTGTCACCCACCTCAGGGTTACAATACTTCACAAAGGAGAAGAGTCACAATATATCCATGTCACAAGAATATCCATGCCCTACAAGATTTACTACCTTTCCATAGGGCTTGCAAGGCAGAGATGTTCCACCAGGCATTTGATTGAGGACAGCAATGGTCCATCACTCTCATACCCCCACCTCCCCCCTTTTTCTTCATATTTTCCCCTCCATCCAGGGGGCAGGTGGATACTGAAATTATCCGTCATCTTGAACACAGTATTGTTTTCTGATGAATTGCTTTAATATATTTTAATTTTTTCTTATATATTGTATTCGCTTTTGATGTAAGTTGCCCTGAGCCCTGCCTCAGGGTAGGGAGGCCTAGCAAATTGAATGAAATAAATAAATAATAAATAAAATACTGCAGCCTGCCTCTGTGCTTAGGAACCTCCCCGAGACCATTTTTCTTCTTCTCAGGCTGCTGCTTCTTCTGCTCCCCCCCACCTTCTGGCTGGTTTGGCTTTTCTTTCTGCTCCTCTACCTTCCTCCTTCAGCCAGCCCCCTCACACCTGGCCCTTGAGCTCCACAGCCCTGTCTTAAAACACTTGGGCCCAGAGAGCCATTGTTCTCCTATCCAGACTTGCTCACTGCCTCCATCCCTTTTGAGCTTTCCTGGGGCAGACTGCCAAAGCTACCCTGTTGATGAGTTTACCTTGGCTGCATCATTCTGCCCTGGTCCCCCTCATTCCACCCAAGTGAGGCTTGCTGCCAGGACAAGGAGTGTGTCCTAATCCACCAGGCAGGTCATTGCCAGGTAGCCTGCCACACTACCATTGCAAGGGCAGTCCTATTGCTATGGCGATGTGCTATTTGCTGCACTGCTTTTATAGAATGCTGGAAAGCGTGAGACAGAAGGATTTGTGCAAGCTGCTTTTTTGAGTGTTGGAGTCAGATGAGTGTGTTTGTTGGTGATCCTTGGTCCTTTTTTTTTCTTATTTCCTGTTTTCTCATCTCCCTCCCCCCTTCCTTAGAGGGGGTGGTTAGTACCAGAGGCAACCTGCGTGTCTGTCTTGCCACTAAGTCTCTTGCCTGCCTTGCCAACCTGGTGCCAAAGCCAGCAACCAGAATGCAAGAAGTAGCCACCCACTAGAGCAAGCTAGTCAGTGAGTCAACAGCAAGTAGTGTGTGTGTGTCCACACACGCGCACCAAACATTCTTTTCTAATGTTCGGCAAGGTGGAAATATCTATGAAAAATAACTGGGATAGATTCTCTTATAAGCATAAGGATTCATATATATGCATGGGCTTAAGTATTAACTTCAGTACTACCAGTTGCATGCCCCGTGTGGAAACAGACATGGGGGCCTATTGACAATATAGTTCTCTGTGCCTAGGGAACTCTGCAGCAAAGTCTATCATTATTTAAAAATTACAAACAATTGTCTTATTAACCTTTTATGTTTCTCAGGAAACCTGAACTGACAAGGCGTTGACATCAAATTTTTAAAGGTCCTTTTAAAATTCTAACTTGGATATCCTGGTGATTCATAAAGCTGATTGTAAGGGGCTGAAACTGAAGTGTTCGCGCACTTGGGCATTTTCAGAGCTGACAAGATTAAAAAAAACATCTTTATTCAGATCTCATTCCACACTTTTTGAAATGGTCATTATTTGGATTAATGCAATTTACAGGTGTGTGTGTGTATATATATATACATGTGTGTGTATTTGTGCCCTAAAATAAATTATTTTTCATTCCATGTTCTAGGCCTTCCAACTTGTCTGCTGTGCACTTGTCTGGGTACCTCTGTGTACTGTGATGACCGTGAACTTGAGGCACTCCCACCCTTGCCCAGGCAAACCACCCATTTCTACTCCCGCTACAATAGAATCAAAAAGATCAACAGGGATGACTTTACTAACCTAAGTACGGATAACTGCTGCCAAAAACTGGTTATCATTTTCATTTTAGTACATGCTATAGGAGTATTTATTCATCTTGAACAATATGATGGTAATATACATTTCTAGACTGAAAATCCATGACCATGAATACTTTAGGAGTATTTATATCTATAAACATTGCAGTAGCTTTTATTAATTTTGTTCTTTTACAAAGGCAGAAATACAATCAAGAGTGCTCTTTAATGTTATTCATTTTCCCCTGCCAGGCAATTTAAGGAGGATTGACTTGACTTCTAATTTAATATCTCAAATTGATGAAGATGCCTTCAGGAATCTGCCTCAACTTCAGGAGGTGATACTCCGGGATAACCAGATAAGGCAGCTGCCAGAATTACCCCCAACATTGACATTCATCGATATTAGTAACAACAGGCTTGGTCGCAAAGGGATAAAACAGGAAGCTTTCAAAGTGAGTCTGGAATTTGATTGTTCATTTCTTGAAACATTTATGCCAAAAAAATTAGCAGAACTACAGATGGTCCTCTTGTGAGGCAAGGAAAAGCAGCTCCTTCCAGCAGTGGTCTTGGGTGCCATTGAGGATGGCAGAGTGGGATCCAGACAAAGATGAACTTGTGCAGCATGCTTTGTTGTTTACCTAGTTCTCCTGTGCAACTTTTCTTTATTTCAATGATGTCTGAACAGGAAAACCTATTGGTAGATTGTGCTCCATATTAGAGGGCACGTGCATGTAGGAAAAGGCAGCAGGAAAAGAGGAAGACCCAGCATGAGATGGACTGCTTCAATAAAGGAAGCCATAGCCTTCAGTTTTCAAGACATGAACAAGGTTGTTAATAATATAATGTTTTGGAGGTCATTAATTCTTAGGGTTGCCATAAATTGGAAGTAACTTAATGGTACATAACAAAAGTATGTATGTTTAAATGAACAGAGTGCACTTTGGATTTTCTGGCTCAGATACTGAAAATACTTTGAGATATCCCTGGATAGAATGAAAATAAAGTTAAGCTTTAAGTTGAACCCTGGATATCAGCAAAATCAGCAAAATCTAGAATTATCTTCATTCTGCTGCAGTCTGATAAGATTCAATAAAAGAGCCCTGTGGGTGCTCTTATGTTTGTTTTTATGTGGTTAATGCCAGTAAGTATTTTCAAGTCAAAATTCAAGATTATAGTTGAAATACAAGTTGCTACCAGGAAACTGAGCTCTACGTGCCCTCATTTTTTTTTTGCATTAACAAATCTCACATCTTTACCCAGTAGAATCATTTGCTACTGACATTTCCAGATCTTAGCCCCATGCACACTGATCCTTATATTCCCAGGGCCTTTTTGAGGATTTCACCCTAACTCAATTGAATTTTGAATTCCCTCATGGGATGGACAGTCTGTGAACACCCTGTTGTTCAGTGGTTTACTCCTTCAGCAATTAGAGTGCTTGTAAAGTTTCCATTACATCAATGTGAAACTGAGCAATGAGCTCTGAGCAGGAGCAGGAGAGAGAGAGCTGTGAGAGAGGTGAGTGGGTTTCTTTTACTTGCTTTCAGCTGAGAGAATTCAGCTAAGGATATTTTGTGGGAAAACTGTGTTTAGCAGTGTGTGGAAGCACTTAGAGTTCTTGCAGAGTCCTGGCTGATTGAGTGTGGGAGAGGAACGGGCATTGTTTGACTGGGATTGCCTGTAATTGAGAGGAAGTGGAAGGGGCATTGTTTTGCCTGTGATTGAGTGCCTGGGTGAATTTTAATTTGAATAGCTGCTGCCTGACCTCTGCTGGGGGAGGCCTCTATTTAAGGAAGCACCTTGCCAGAGGCACGAGCCTGCAGGGGGTTGGGGGCTATCCAGTGTTTTGCACGGAGTGTCACATGTATGACTATCTGCCCACTGGGCAGAAGTCTTGGGTGTGTCCTCGGTGCAAGGAGCTCCTGGTTCTCAGGGAACGTGTGTGCTCCCTTGAGGCCAAGGTGGCTGACCTGGAGAAGCAGAGACAGTCAGCTAGGCACACAGAAAAGACTCTCGGGGACTTGTTAGCTTCGTCCCACTCTGGATCTGGCAGCCCCGCTGCTGTCAGGGAGCATGAGGGTCTAGGGGAAACAGGGCACCATGCTGAGGATAAGGGGAATGTGCCCTCAGAAGGGACCTCTTCCCCAGCTGGTGAGCGGCTCTCCTTTTGCACCAAGGAACCATCCCTGAGCAGGGTGGGAGGGGGGCTCTTGGTAGTGGGTGATTCGATCCTTAGGCAGGTAGACAGCTGGGTGGCGAACCCGCGTACTGACCGTATGGTGACTTGCCTGCCTGGTGCGAAGGTAGCGGACATTACGCGTGTTTTAGATAGGCTGGTAGATAGTGCTGGGGAGGAGCCAGTGGTCGTGGTGCATGTCGGCACCAACGATGTGGGGAAATGCAGTCGTGAGGTCCTGGAGGAGAAATTTAGGCTGCTGGGCAGGAAACTTAGGTCCAGGACCTCCAAGGTAGCCTTCTCAGAAGTGTTACCTGTTCCACGCGCAGGGCCGGAGAGACAGGCAGAGATCAGGAGTCTCAATGCGTGGATGAGACGATGGTGTAGGGGGGAAGGGTTCAGGTTTGTTAGGCACTGGGATACTTTTTGGAACAAGAGGGAGCTGTACAGGCGAGACGGTCTCCACTTGTCCCGAGAAGGAACCAGGCTGCTGGCACTTAAAATCAAAAAGGTGGCAGAGCAGCTTTTAAACTGAATATTGGGGGAAAGCCGACAGGAGATGAAAAGTCTCTGGTTCGGGTTGGCTCATCTGAGAGAGGTGAGGGGGTACCGGTTGCTTTTCTACAGGGAGGTGGATTGAAATTGTCCACAGAGGCCATGGCTGGTGACATGGACTGCCGGACAACGACTCGAGATAGCAAGAGGAAGGATGCAGGCTTAACTTGTAAGGGAAATTACAGCTGTTTCTATACAAATGCTAGAAGTGTCCGAGGTAAAATCGGGGAGTTGGAGTGCTTGGTGTCGGAGGGAAAAATAGACATTGTGGGTATTTCTGAAACTTGGTGGGATGAGGAAAATCAGTGGGACACAGTGATTCCCGGTTATATATTATATCGGAAGGATAGGGGGGGAAGGGTTGGAGGTGGGGTAGCTCTGTATGTCAGAGAGGGTATAAAGTCTAGAAAGATTGAGAGGCTAAGTGAATTGGATTCGCTTCTGGAAGTTCTATGGGTTGAAATAGGGGGGCCAAAAGGAAACTTAACACTGGGAGTTTGTTATCGCCCACCAGATCAAAAGATAGAGGAGGATTATAAAATGATGAATGCCTTAAAGATAGCAACTAGACAAAAACACTGTGTAATAATAGGTGATTTTAACTACCCACACATTGATTGGGTCAATATGTGTTCTAGTCGGGAAAAAGAGATTGAGTTTCTAGACACTCTAAATGACTGTGCTATGGAGCAGATGGTCACGGAACCTACCAGGGGAGAGGCGATCCTTGATTTGGTCCTAAGTAACACTCAAGACCTGGTGAGAGATGTAAAAGTGATTGCACCGCTTGGAAACAGTGATCATAATGTTGTTGAGTTCATCATTTGTACAAATAGAGAATTGGCCAAAAAGACTCACACAACCATTTTTAACTTTAAAAGGGGTAATTTCTCTGATATGAGGGGACACGTGGGGAGGAAACTGAAAGGAAAAGTAGAAAGGGTCAAAACAATTGGGGAAGCTTGGGATCTATTTAAAACTACGATCCTAGAAGCTCAAAAAATATATATTCCGCAGGTTAGGAAAGGCACAAACAGGTATAGGAAAAAGCCTGCATGGTTAACAAACAGAGTAATGGAGGCTGTAAAAAGTAAAAAGAATTCCTTTAAGCAGTGGAAAGCTAGTCACAGTGAGGCTGATAAAACGGAACACAGGCTATGGCAAATAAAATGCAAGTCTGAGGTCAGGCAGGCAAAAAGGGAATATGAGGAGCATATAGCAAAAAACGTAAAAACCAACAATAAAACTTTCTTCAAATACATTAGAAACAGGAAACCAGCCAGGGAGGCAGTGGGGCCCTTGGACGACCAAGGGGTAAAAGGAGTATTGAAGGATGATAGGGAAATGGCTGAGAAGCTAAATGCATTTTTTGCCTCCGTCTTCACTGTGGAAGATGAGAAGTGCTTGCCCACTCCAGAACCACTGATTTCAGGAGGGGTGTTGGAAGACCTGAGTCAGATTGAGGTGATGAGAGAGGAGGTCCTAAAACTGATAGACAACTTAAAAACTGAAAAATCACCAGGCCCAGATGGCATACATCCGAGAGTTCTGAAAGAACTCAAATGTGAACTTGTAGATCTCCTGACAAAGATATGTAATCTTTCCTTAAAATCTGCCTCCATTCCTGAGGATTGGAAGGTAGCTAATGTCACTCCCATCTTTAAAAAGGGTTCCAGAGGAGATCCGGGAAATTACAGGCCAGTCAGTCTGACGTCGATACCGGGTAAATTGGTGGAAACCATTATTAAGGAAAGAATTAGTAGGCACATAGATGAACAAAACCTATTGAGGCAGACTCAGCACGGTTTCTGTAAGGGAAGATCTTGTCTCACTAACCTGTTAGTGTTCTTTGAGGGGGTGAACAAACATGTGGACAAGGGGGATCCAATAGATATTATTTACCTTGACTTCCAGAAAGCTTTTGATAAAGTTCCTCATCAAAGGCTCCTAAGTAAGCTCAAAAATCATGGGATAGAAGGACAAGTCCTTTTATGGATCAAAAACTGGCTAGTTCATAGAAAACAGAGAGTGAGTGTAGGTGGGCAATTTTCTCAGTGGAGGGTGGTAAGCAGTGGGGTACCGCAGGGATCAGTACTTGGTCCACTGCTTTTTAACTTGTTCATTAATGATTTGGAGATGGGAGTAAGCAGTGAAGTGGCTAAATTTGCGGATGATACAAAGTTGTTCAGGGTGGTGAAAACCAGTGAGGATTGTGAGGCACTCCAAGGGGATCTGTCAAGGATGGGCGAGTGGGCGTCAACATGGCAAATGGGGTTCAATGTGGCCAAGTGCAAGGTGATGCACATTGGAGCCAAAAATCCTAAATATAAATACACATTGATGGGGTCTGAACTGGCAGAGACTGAGCAAGAGAGAGATCTTGGAGTTGTAGTGGATAACTCACTGAAAATGTCGAGACAGTGTGTGACTGCAATAAAGAAGGCCAATGCTATGCTGGGGATTATTAGGAAGGGTATTGAAAACAGATCAGCCAATATCATAATGCCCCTATATAAATCAATGGTGAGACCTCATTTGGAATACTGTGTGCAGTTCTGGTCACCACACCTTAAAAAGGATATTATAGCTTTGGAAAAAGTGCAGAAAAGGGCAACTCGAATGATAAAAGGGTTGGAACACTTTCCCTATGAGGAAAGGTTAAAGCGCTTAGGGCTCTTTAGCTTGGAGAAAAGACGACTGAGGGGTGACATGATCGAGGTTTATAAGATTATGCATGGGAAAGAGCAGGTAAAGAAAGAGGTACTTTTCTCCCTTTCTCACAATACAAGAACTCGTGGGCACTCCATGAAATTGCTGAGCGGTCGGGTTAGAATGGATAAAAGGAAGTACTTCTTCACCCAAAGAGTGATTAACACTTGGAATTCACTGCCACAGGAAGTGGTGGGTGCTACAAGCATGGATGGCTTCAAAAGGGAATTAGATAAGCATATGGAGCAGAGGTCCATCAGTGGCTATTAGCCACAAGGTATAGCTAGGGGCTCTGGGGCAAGTGATGCTCTGTCTTCTTGGTGCTTGGGGGGGGGTCAACAGTGGGAGGGCTTCTAATGTCCTGGCCCCACTGCTGGACCTCCTGATGGCACTGGTATTTCTGGCCACTGTGTGACACAGAGTGTTGGACTGGATGGGCCTTTGGCCTGATCCAACATTAGCGTCTCTTATGTTCTTATGTTCTTATTTGCTGAAAAAGGCTGCCATCACCACCACCGGTTCCCTCAGCACATTCCAAGATAAATCAAGTGTGTGAATCCTATTGTGTTGTTATCCACTGTTCATTCTCTCAAGGTCCGATTCATATGCAATCTTGTTTTTGTATCCTGCCACAAAACCACAATACAAATATATGCACGCGGCACGCCACACCAGTTATGAAGTATATACCCATGGGTTTTTGTTTTGTTTTGATATTTGTCCCATTAGGATTAGAGCTTATGGGGGTGAGGAGGAAGCTTCATGAAAAACTTCACACCCTACAAATTGTGTGCCTTTTCTTCAGAAATCATTGACTCAAAATGGGCAAAAAAATTGTTTTTGCCATCAGTCCCTTGCATCAGTTCTTTCCCACCGTACAGAAGAGCAGCCTTCCCTTCCACCTGTTCGGTAGCAGCACAGCCACTCTATAGCAAGCCTCCTTATAACCCTGAGTAGTTGCTGAATCAGCACTTTAAAAAGTTTTCATTCCTTTGGTTCCTGCATACTGTTAGCTTTTACATAGCCAAATTTGGGCTGTGTGCTGATGCCACCAAGGGCAGAAGAAACTAACAGAAAAGAAAAGATTCCTTGCACTTTTAGTGTATCAGAAAGAACGATTGCTTTAAAGTAGAAAATGGTTTTGATAGGATTCAGCCAGTGATCAGGGCTGCAAACAAGCGTAGAGTAGGCGTGAGAAGAGAAGAATTCCTTCCCCCACCCCAATACCCTCTTTTGTACCAAAAATGTTTGATTCATCTTAGCCTTTATTAATATACACATAAGCTAGAGCCCTGTTCTTTTGCCACTATATGGAACATGTGACGAAAAATACATGCATATACACTTCATATCTGACACTGGACTCACGTTTTTTTCCAACTGAGACATTGTACTTCAGTAGAAAATGTATGACTTTATTCTTAAGGGAAAAAAACAGAAGTTATGTGGCTCCATCTTTTAATTCTGTCTTTCATTCAGTGGAAGGGGCATAGGGAGAGTGAGGACAAGTCCACTCTCAGGTCCAACTCCTAAAACTTGACAAGACATCTGAACTTGTGGACCAAACTAGATGGGACCGTAGCAGACTTATGATGGGGTGCTGCTCTTTACCTCATAGGGTCAAACGCACAGGCCCACACATGTATGTTTTTCCCTGAAGAGCAAATGCAGCTTGGCTTTGTGTGTGTGTGTGAGATTAGATAGGGATCATGGCACAGAAGAAATGGTTAAACTGTGCCTCTTTCAGTGCTCTAATCTGGTTTATGCTCCCTAAAGATGTCTTTCACTTAAAAAGTGGGAGATGGGTAGCCTGCCATCTCATCAAGTCTGGCCCGAAGAAAGGCAAAAAATGTCTGCCCCGCCCCCCCAAACATTGTGAGAAAGCCCGCAAATCAAACCCACTGTGGTGAAGTCTTCACACAACTGTGGCCCTGACATTTTTAGGGACTTCACTAAAGCTTCAAAAGGAATAGTATATTTAAAATATCCTCATTTGTCCTTCTGACTGGCTTGGAATAAGACTAAATAAAATCACCATGGTACTTTTGGAAATAGTTTTGTTTTTATTTTCTCCAGGATATGATTGACTTGCACCATCTGTACATCACGGATAACAACCTGGATCATATCCCACTTCCACTCCCTGAAAGTCTCCAATCCCTTCATCTCCAGGTAGGTTACAATTTCCCATAAAATATAGATGGTGTTCTAGGCTACTGGCAAGAGGCCAGAGTACTAAGTAACAGAATAGCTTCACCTCATGGGTGTTACTCAAAGACACTAAGACTGTGAAATGTTCAACACATGCAAATACAAAACCAGCTATCTAGGATGTTGTCGAAGAGTGAGGAGACCTTGAAAATCCAAGAAAATGAAGGGGAAATTTGAACTGAGAATGAAGAAAATTGCTTACATGCTTGAGATTTTACTTTATGGCCACAATCAAACAGGGTTAAGAAAAAAATGTTTCATTGATTTCATTGTACTTAGAAGAGTGCTCCTGCATTAGATTATGGATGTTTAAATTAAGGTTAACTTGTAAATGCTCTGTTTCTCACACAATATCTGAAACCATAATTCAGAAGCCTTCTAGATCCTCCTAAGTAAGAAAGAAATTACAATGCTGTTTAAATCTGAAAAGATTTTCAAATGAACGTGTATTTTAAAAACATAATTATTCCCTGCTTGTCTCCCACATGGGGTACCCACATAGGCTTACAACAACATTCTCTCCTCCTCCATTTTGTCATCACAATAACTTAGTGTAAGAGACAATGACAGCCCCAAAGTCACCCAGCAAGTTTCTATAAAGTGTAGATTCTAATCTGGGTCTCCCAGATCCTAGTCTGACACATTAACCACTACACCATGCCAGCTCTCATGTAAAGCCATGCATCTCTTACTGCAGAGTATTGCGTCCCAGTATGTAACCTTCTTGATAGTGTGCACTGGTATCAGCTACCACATGGCCACGCCCAACAATGTTTTGTTTCCTCCTACAGTACACTATTCGAGATGAGGCCAAGGTCAGGGGAAAGTTTTGCATAAGCTTGTACACAAATGCAATCATTTATTTGTGGTCTCTGAAGTCCCATGTTGGGTTCTGCACCTGTTCAGAGGCAATTCAAGGAATTGTGTAGATACCTCAAATGCCTCAAGAGTGACTGCCTCAGGCAGCAGGGCAAGTGCTCTATTGCTCAGTTGTTGTCTGACCCACTAGCAATGGAGAGTTATATAAGCTTTGGATAGCTCCTAAAAGAAAAATGGGAATATTGGGCTTTATGGAATGAAAAAGAAATGGTGACAACTTATTACCATGGAGTCTTCACAGATGTTCCTGTTTCCTTTTTAGAACAACAACATACAAGAAATGCATGAAGATACTTTCTGCAAAATGAAAGATTATTCTTACATCCGTAAAACTCTTGAAGACATCAGGTTAGATGGCAACCCCATTAATCTGAGCAAAACCCCTTATGCCTATATGTGCCTACCACGTTTGCCTGTTGGAAGCCTTTTTTAATCTTGTAATCAGAACTGTCATGCAATATTCCTTTGTTTGAAAATGAGTGTGTCAATGCTTTCTGAAGCATACTATTTTTAAAAGTTCATAAACATGGAATACGGTTTCATTCATGTAAAATAAGGAGCAAATAGCCATAATCCATAGTGTGCAATGCTGAATATAAGCACATTTTCTAAAAAAAACACATTATGCTTCTATGCAGTATCCATCTATAGCAGATACAAAAGCATGTAGATTAGCTGACGAGTATAGCGAAAGAGGTTAGTGAACAGAAATATTAAAGAAATTGGGTGTTTATGATTCCTTTTAACAATTTTATCTTCATTAACAATAGTAGCAGGTTTATAAGAAGTATATGTAAATAGTAACTGATTTATGCTACCTTGGATTTTAATTAGATTCCTCATTCCTGATATGTTCTATACTTTTTGTGTCTTATAGGATCAGGTCATTTTTCTGAACTCTTAATATTAAAATGAACATTGAACATTGTTTTGAACCAGAAAGAAAATGAGCAAAAGCTACTTATAAACACATATAAAGATGTACACTATACATATTTGTGCTTTTGTAGTAATACCAGGACCATATAATAGTAAATAACACCAGTCTCTGCTTCCTGTATCTCTGCTCAGACAGTTCTCTTAGAGCAACAATAAAACAATTTTGAAATGGTTTCAAGTGTTGAATATTTCTTAGATAATATAGAAGACAGTGAACAGTGATAGTACTCTACAGAATATTTTTACTTATTTTAATATTGTTATGGGAGAAAGTGTTAAAATATGAAGCACCAATCTTTAAAATATGCTTGATATGGAGATAGCCCAATGATTGTTCCCATAGTTTAGTATTCTCCTTTTATCCACGTTCATTTCTATCTAGCACCCATCACCTAGAACCCTCTGCAAGGCTCTTCAGTGTCCCAGCAACTGCTGCTCCTTGATCTAAAATAGATAGGCCATGGTTCAGTGATGGAGCACATGCTTAACTTACAGGTGTCCCACATTCACAATGCCAACCAAATAGAGTTGCAGTTTTCAAACCTAACTGAAGTTGAGGGGCACAGAAGGGTATAGCTCTGCTTAGGTTGGCAGTAACAGCTTCTGTCATCTCCAGATGTAGGGTCTTAACATAACAGATATTGGGAAAGACCTTTGGAGAGGGGAAGCTGGAAAAAGTCCTGTTTTGCTAACTCCATCAACAGGCTTTTCAACTGGACCCATTCCAACCTGATTGAACTATGTAGCTGATTGGATTTGGTGCTGTATGTTGATATCAATGAAGACAATAAAGCATAACCATAATTCTAAAGCCCTAATTCAACTGTAGTCACTTCAGACTATGGGTGCAGTCAGACGGGCCGTTTAGTCCACTTTTGGCCCACCTCAGAAACGGATTTTATCTGCGCAATCACACAGTCAACATCTACCGCCCATCCCCAGCCGTCACTTTCCGGTTCAAAACCACTTTAACCTGAGTATTTTGATACCAGATCCCCAAGTGGTGTTTTCCTGATTCTCCGGTTCCAGTTACACTTTTCTGACGTCTGACTGCTCCTGCGGTGTCGAGCAATTTCTGGTTTAAACCCCCTCCCCGCTCAAAAGCTGCCCGAGGCTTCCGCTTTTCGCCTGTCATTTTTTTTAAGTGTTGGCGGTGTGCACATAGGCAGAGGTCTGCCACCACGTTATTAAAAATAATGTTTAAACGGTGCCTAGTTTTGGAGTTTAGACAAGTTTAGGATCTCACGGAGGCCATTTTCAGGGTAAATGTTTAAAGGGAAGTGTTAGAGCAGTTGGGTTGAAATGGAAATCACTGTTCTGTGCACACGCAAAAATGTTAGTTCTACAGATGGCTGCCTGTGCCCAAACTGAGAGAGAGATAAAAACAACAGCAAAGCACACTCCCACGTGTGGACAACAGGGAGTGATGTGGCTGAGCAGCAATCTGGAGCAAGGAGGTGAGTGTGATCATGATTCTCCAGGTTAAAAAAGACTGCATCAGGGCCGGAGCAATTTAAACCGCTCCCAGCATGCCGTCTGACCACACCCTATGTGTTTGGATGCTGTTCCCACTAAGAGCAATGCGATGGACTTTTTCTGTGCATTCCAAATAGATATCTGCACTTGGGTGTGCATTCTGATGAGTGTTCATATTCTTATTCTATTGCATATATGACAAATATTTGTTGTTTTGTTGTGCTGATTACATTACTACAGCACAGAGCTACAAAACAGGAAGCTTCATCCTGGTCAGAGAGGCCACAAGGGAGCATTCCTTTCCCCCTGCACACCCATACCTTTTCCAGTGCTTTTCAAAAAATGGCCACAAACAGGAGGCCACTTTTGGAGGAGTGTCAAGATGTTTACTTGGCTCTGGTTAGTATAACAGATGTATTGCATGCATGTTGACAGATGGAATGCTCTCAGATGTGGTTTCTGTACGTAAGGAAAATTAAAATATGCGTAAATAGGGAAGAAAATGGCACCAACATGAACACATACACTTCTCCTTACTCAGCTCTTAGCACTTGTGTTTGTGTACAAGTCTTGTTCCTCTTCTTTGGAGTAGGGTGGGGAGCAGGCCTTGGGAAATCAGGGGACTCCTGGGGAGGGGGTGTAGACAAAAAATATAAAGTGCTTTCCCTGTTCTTGATCAATTGCTCACATTTGTCATCCTTTTACAGATTGCTACTGCCATCATGTGTTGAAGAACAGGAATATCTTGCAAAAGCCTTACCTCCCCCCCAAAAAACCCCCCCACATTTTGTGTGCTTTTAGAAACAGGATTGGTGATCGTACACAGTAGATTCCAATTATGTTCAAAGTTCCACTATATCAGATTTCATAATTTGTATGTCATTTAGCTTCCTTAAACTGTCAGGAGAGTAAGATAAAGGAAAGGTGGGGTCCATTGCCTCATTCATAATATATGACAGTTCATGCACTTAGAGGTATAAGGGGAGAATTCTTTATCTCCTCAGTCTTGAAGATAAAAATCATATATGATATGTTAGGGAACAAGCCTGATATTTGTTTTATGGACTGCTTATTGCTACACAATGGACTGTGCACATACACGTGGACTCAGAGAACTGTACACTTTAGGTCACCTGTTGTGATGACACACATAGAGGGTGCCTGCATATACCTTACATGTAAATAAGGTTTCAGCAACACAGTTACACAGCCTGGTGAAGAAGCACAACTCTCCATTATTGTTAGCAATGAAACAACAACTTTGGGAAGAAACAGCCACCATGACAAAGCTGCCTGCTGGTCATGTATAACCCATTGCCATGTAACTGCTTTGTTCCTGATGAACATTTGGTTATCAAAGGAACTGGCCAACTTCATCAGCACTACAAGGAAGCATCCTGACGCCTGGATTTCACACCTGGTCAGATGCTAATGCTTCGATTAAGGTTTTAGGTTACAATATTGGCCATCCCTCCTAGGTAACCTCCCTCCCTGCCTGCAACCAATAGGATTGTTTTTGGGATGGACTAACAGGTAGGTGGGTCAAGTGGTTGGCACAGTTACCACCCACCTTTTGTACCCCCTATAAAAGGAGAGAACCAGTCACCCGGCTCCTCCTAGCTAGCATTCCCCCAAAACAACCCCTGTCTGCTTTTACTCCTCTTGAGTCCCCCTTGCTATCCCCAACCCCTGCCTCTACTATTGATCTCTTGATCTGCAGTCAGGAGACCTACGAGTTCCGGCTGGTTCTGGTCGTGTGGATTCCATTTGTTTTGCATTTCTTCCCATCTTTATTCCCATCCATTCCTTGGAACAACCAAGCTTCAAGACAGATAAGTATCGCCCATCATCACCCCTACCTGCTAATGCAACTGTGCTTATTTCCTACTTTAATTCTTAGGAACTTGATTGAATGTGTGAGTGCATCAGTATTGTTTGTATGAGATATATTTTTAGTAAAAGACATCTATTTTAACTACAACAGCCTCGGAATCCTTTACTGGTAACCCAGGGTGGGATCAGGAACTTGGTATAAATTGGCAAGAACCCATCTATAAATTGCCAATTGCTATAAATAAAGCAATTTGGCTAACAGATAAACATTTATTTAACCATGTAAGTTCTGAATCTTAAATTCAAGTGTAAGTTGTAATGGTACAACTGGTATTTGCAATACATACAGTGGAATACTTTAAGTTACCAGTTTTTTTTTTGGTTTTTTTTTACTATTGGAGCCTTTCACCTCTATGGTAAAAGGATGTCCTCAAATAAACTGAGTGGGCTAAATATGCTACCTGCCCCCTTGTGACCTGGTTCAGGAAACAGGTTTTGCTCTTTATTGTACCTTATTGAGCCTTAGACTGGTGCCTATTTACAATCTCATAGAAATTAGTGGAACCTACTGAGATATTTTGTTTTTATTTAATT